AACGAAAGTAAGTATTGTCACGTCCTAAAAATGAAAACAAGGGAAGTGAACGAAAGTTAGTATTGGCAAGTCCTAAAAGTGAAAACTAGGGAAGTGAACGAAAGTTAGCATTGTCACGTCCTAAAAGTGAAAACTAGGGAAATGAACGAAAATTAGTATTATCGCGTCCTAAAAGTGAAAACTAGGGAAGTGAACGAAAGAAAGTATTGTCAAGTCCTAAAAGTGAAAACTAGGGAAATGAACGAAAGTTAGTATTGTCAAGTCCTAAAAGTGAAAACTAGGGAAGTGAACGAAAGTAAGTATTGTCACGTCCTAAAAGTGAAAACTAGGGAAGTGAATGAAAGTTAGTATTGTCAAGTCCTAAAAGTGAAAACTAGGGAAGTGAACGAAAGTTAGTACTATCTCGCCCTAAAAGTGAAAACTAGGGAAATGAACGAAAGTTAGTATTGTCACGTCCTAAAAGTGAAAACTAAGGAAGTGAACGAAAGTTAGTATTGTCTCGTCCTAAAAGTTAAAACTAGGGAAGTGAACGAAAGTAAGTATTGTCACGTCCTAAAAGTGAAAACTATGGAAATGAACGAAAGTTAGTATTGTCAAGTCCTAAAAGTGAAAACTAGGGAAGTGAACGAAAGTTAGTATTGTCACGTCCTAAAACGGAAAACTAGGGAAGTGAGCGAAACTAGTTTCAGCTTTTCACTTTTTGCTTGAAAAAGGAGCTCTTAATTAATAAGAGAACAGAGGCATTATATTAATTTTGGATGAGAAATGACCGTGTGAAGTGTTGACGAGTCAAAAGTGCTGGTAGAAAATCTTTTTGAGGAGGTTGATCAAGATTCGTCAAAAGATATTTTGAATTCTTTAAAATCCACATTAATTAATAGCACTTCTGGAGTATGAGGTGTCACAATCCCATATAAACGAGGAAGGTTCGCATTCTTACTACAAATTGGTCTTTGGAAAAGATTGTCATTCAGAAGCGTCATTAGCTAGTATCTCGTCTTTCGAAAAGCTTGGTTATCAAGTAAGCAGAGAGCTTTTTTACTACCATGAAATATAATTAACAAGAATTGCAATAGTCAGCAACTTCCGGGATAACAACTTAACCGATAATACGAGTATAAATAATTTCTTTGAAAAGTTAAACCACTTAAGACATTGCTATCGTAATTTGTATATTCTACACAATTAAGGAGAAACATGGACGTTTCATCTAGAGGTAACACCGGGTAAGATATACAACGACCGCGTTACAATCTGTTACCATCTATGTTACCATGTACAAACGCTGTAAAATTGTATAAGAGGGTCGGCTATTTTTAACAATACCACATTAGGAAACATTCCTAACTTACTACTTTGACTATGGTATCTTCGAGTGCCGTTTATGGATGATTTCAGTTTGACATGGAGTAGAATTGATATGGTGTGTACAGTGCAGATAGTAGGCGTATTGGACGAGTAGGCCAACATTGATATAGTCTACGTACGACGGATGCAATGGACCGTATCACAGACAAAGTTAAATCGTTTCTCGTATCATTACAACAAGATAATGATTATCATACTACAAATCATTGAGTGTTCCTAATTAACAATGATTATTTTTTTAGAATCAATATAAACTATACATTGTACGTGAGATAATACAAATAACTTACCTGTTACCATCTACGTCATTTGTAAAACGTCTAATTCAATTACACAGTGAAGTTAAATAGGTATGAATTATACATAAGTTTGTCAAAAGTTAGTCGCCAATTATGCTAAGTGAATATAAACATTTTAGCCAAAATAGAAACACTAATTCAGCAAGCACCAACGTTGGTTATTGATAGACAACTTTTATAGGTATATTTTAGGTTGATATTCTTCCTGTCTGCTGACATGATGACGTATAGTCATAAACAGCTCAACGGTAAGTGCCCAGGTAGGTGTCTATTTAATATAGTTATATCAACTGAAATTTTATGTTCTTATACTTAATATAATTTCAACCACTATTTGGCTATGGACAGGTAACACTACAGCCATGTATATCGTCATAAATGGTCACGTGATCGGCATGTATCATAATTTTATCGCTATATATCTTCATGTGTTTACCACGAATCACTATGACGTATCACTAAATTAGCGCCATGTAATGCAATATTACCGCCACGTATCGCTATATTACCTCCACGTATCGGTAAATTAGCGCCATGTGTTGCTATATTACTGCCATGTACCGCTATTATAACGCCATGTGGAACTATGTAACCGCCACGTATCGCTAAATACCGCCATGTATCGCTATATTACCGCCATGCATCGCTATTTTAACGCCATGCATCGCTATGATAACGCCATGTGGTACTATGTTTCCGCTACTTATCGCTATCATAACGCCATTTATTACATACTTACTAATAAATACGGGTTTTTTGTATATGCGATACGACACAATTGCCCTTACCCATATCAGCCCTCGCCGTATCACACCCCAAAAGCCGTATCAGCCCCCGCCGTATCACACCCCAAAACCCGTATCAGCCCGCAAAAACCGTATCACACCCCTTTTGGAAATTTTCCGTTTTTCGATATTTCAAAAAAAAAAAAAAAAGACCATAAGAAAGTAGCTTTTAGTAAGTATGTAATAAACAGAATAAAACATGCCTTTTTTCGAAGGCCCTTGGGCTGATATTGCAGTCTCGGGTTGATACTGTGTGTGATATGGAAAAAGGCATGTATTATTCTCTATGTATCGCTATATTACCGCCACGTATCGCTATATTACCGCCATGCATCGCTATTTTAACGCCATGCATCGCTATTATAACGCCATGTGGTACTATGTTTCCGCTACTTATCGCTATAATAACGCCATGTATCGCTATATTACCGCCACGTATCGCTATGTTACCGCCACGTATCGCTTCGCTATATTACCGCCACGTATCTCTATATTACCGCCATGCATCGCTATTTTAACGCCATGCATCGCTATTATAACGCCATGTGGTACTATGTTTCCGCTACTTATCGCTATAATAACGCCATGTATCGCTATATTACCGCCACGTATCGCTATGTTACCGCCACGTATCGCTTCGCTATATTACCGCCACGTATCTCTATATTACCGCCATGTATCGCTATGATAATGCCATTTATCATTATGATAAAGCCATATATCGCTTTATTACCGAAATGAATAGCTATATTTACGCACCGTATTGCTATATTACCGCCAGACATCGTAACAATAACGCCATGTGGTATTATGTAACCGTCACGTATCGCTTTATTTCCACCACATATCGCTATATTACCACCATGTTTCACTATGATAACGCAATGTTTCGCTATTTTACAGCCATTTATCGCTTTATTACTAATACGTATCGCTAGATTACCGCCATACATCGTTTTTTTACCGTCAAATATCGCTATATTACCACAATCTATCGCTATATTAACGTCATGTATCGCTATATTACCGTCATGTATCGCTATATTACCGTCATGTATCGCTATTATCACGCAATGTATTGCTAAAATACCACCATGTATGGCTATGTTACGGCGTGTATCACTATATATCGATATGGTACCGCTATATATCGATATGGTACCGCTATATATCGATATGATAACATCATGTATCACTATGTTATCGGGATCTATTGCTATGATGTTATGTAACGACATGTAATCTAATCGTTAAGTCATGTTATCGTCATGTTTATGTATGTGTTATTGCTATATTATTTTAATGTTGTCGTGTATATGTACGTGTTATTGCTATATTATTTTAATGTTGTCGTGTATATTTATTTGTTATTGCTATATTATTTTAATGTTGTCGTGTATATGTATTTGTTATTGCTATATTATTTTAATGTTGTCGTGTATATGTATGTGTTATTGTTATATAATATTATGGAATCGTCACGCACTTGTTAGACAAGGACATGTATCAGTCGGCACGTGATGTACAACGCCTAGCTCCCACTGCACCTCTACAGAAGCTAATGATTGGATGCATCTGTCTTTTAACCAATTTCCATCACTCAACCGCAAGACATTTTAATGTAGTGGTTTTATGTGTAATTTTAAGAACAGAATATTATACATTAAACCTTTAAAGTGAAATATCACATGAAGGACATGGATAGTTAAATGTTATAGTGAGGACTGGACCGTGAAATAATCACGTTAAGGACTTGGAGAGTTAAATGTTATAGTGAGGACTGGACCGTGAAATATCACGTTAAGGACTTTAAGTGCGAAATATATCTAAGAAGTAGAGACCAGAATAACATATCTAGAAACTGAAGAAAATATATCATACTGAGAATCTAGAGAGTAAAATCTCAAAGACATGAGAGTAATACCTAGGGCTCAGAGCGTGCAGCCTCGTAATGAGATCGTGGAGTGAAAATTTCATATTTCGGATAAAGATAGTCAAATGTCATATAATGGAAAAATCATATCTGGAAACTTAAATGTCATGTGTAAGTCATATACAAAAATCATTTTAAAAACCATGAGAGACAAAATATCAAATCTAGAATCTGAAGAGTGAAATATCCGGAGCAAAGCATCACTTCTGAGACCGGGGAGTAAAATTTTATATTAAAAAACTTCAGATAGAAATATCTCATCTACAATTTGTAGTGTCAATAAGTTATATCGAGGTCTGGCAAACTAAATATCATAGCTAAGAACTGGAGAATGGAATAAACAGGTGTGACGTTAGTAAAAAGGACCGACAACCTAACAAACGAAATCATACAGAAAAAACAGTCTGGTAAGCTAAATGTTTTCGTTTATTTAACGACTCGTTGTAATTTAATGAAAATAAAAAGATACTTATAACATTATTTTATTAACTCGTTATGTGCATTCTGTTATTTTTACAAATGGAAACATTTACTCGATGTATTATTCAATAATAAAAGGCACAATAAACAAAGGAAAATGCTATATGTTTTTAAGTAAATTCAACTTATACTTACAGTTACAGTAATTATCCAAATATTCATGATAAAGAACTCCTGTTGTCAGCTATCGTCAGATGTGTCTTCCTATCAATATTTGTAGATCTAAATGTTGTATTAATTCAAACGATGGTTGCTGGGACATAGAATCATTTTTCCGAAAGTTTGTTGAGGTAAACATCATAAATAATCACTACAATAATAACATCGTTACTATAGCGACAATTATCCCTAAATACATATCATTGACATGTATTGCGTTACTGTTGCACAGGTCAATTTGGTGCACATCTCACCACTCAGGGTCGGCTCGAAACGTCGTTGTCGTTCTGATGTCGTCGAATCGCTACTTTACTGTTCTGGTTTACGAAGCACACGTGATATGGTGATTATCTCCCACAGGTAAAAAGAATACTGATGTTCAGTTATAACAATGCTTCATTTCAGGCAAATCAAAGTAGAGGATTTAGCCCTAACCAAAAGATGGTAAACATTCACGCAACCAGACCAGGCACAACACATTTAGTTTGTAAAGCCGACACACGCCTCGGTATGTATTAGCTCCTGATTACCCTGGACTGGTATAAATATGTTGAATATGCTTTCGTATCTCATTAGCAGAAGAGTTTATTCTCTTGTAGGACAGATCTGATTGGCTGCTGGGATCAATTGTATCTCATTATTGATTGTAAAGCGTATGTGTGGCATGGGATTAGATAATTAAAATATACACCATCTTTTCGACACTAAACGTCACAAAAAATAAACAAGTGTCCTAAATAAGATAACATTAAGACTGAATACAATTTGTAGCTTAATTTTTATTTAGATAATCAACTGTGGTTAGACATGGCATACATATATTATACTTCAATAATATTACATTTCAAAGTCGCATTTCTATCGTAACCACAAGTAACATGCATGTTTAAACTGACGTAATAGTAGGACACTTACGAGGATGGGCTCATTATTTACAACATAGGTGAACTTGGTTACATCCTGATGTATTGCGGAAAAAACCCATTGAATGATGAATAGAATCGTAGGGGACTTAATTGATATACGAATGTCTGATCTATGAACTTCCTACTTAGCATCAACCTTGACCTCGATCACTAAATTTGGAATGGAGTAAAACTCAAAATATTGCAAAAAAAGTCTACGAATGTTTATATTTTTTTTTAAAAGTGTAGGAATTTACGAATCGTCAATATATACAACGAGAACAAAGGAGACCGAAACAAAAGTAAAAGTTGTCATAAACCCCATAAAAAGTGCACAAGGTGAGAGTAAGCGTTTGGTGCATAGACTCTGGAATGTATTATAGTGACTCCTGTCAAATCACGGAGGAAAGGATATCGCTCACAAACCTTAAGGCGTGTTCAGCGTAAATTTTGAAATTTTTATGTTTTACAGCACACGTTGACTACAATTCCATGTCTTACGCTGACACTTGTAGGTATTTTAATCTTCCTAGCCTTGATCATAGGAGGGCATTTTTAGCCTGTGTATTTCTTTACAAATGTGTTAATAGTGCTTTTGATTGTCCATATTTAGTCAAGCAAATGTGTTTTCATGTCCCTCGTCGTAATCTACGATCAATTCGTTTTAACCAGTTTTACTGCCAGAGAAGCAGAATAAACGTTAGAAAGTATAGTATTTTAAACAGTAGTCAATGTAATTTTAACTATCTTGTTTTTGCACCAGACTGTGATATGTTTTGTTCCTCTCTCGCTGAGTTAACAGTACGGTTAAAGAATATTTGCTATCACTAATTTCTTTTGTTTTACATATGAGTATCTTTTAGTCTGTGTTACATGCATAACTGACTGTGATATTTTATACTTGTGTTGTAATGTTGTTATCCATTATGTAAGTGGACCCTTGGGTCTGTTCAATTGGAAATAAATAAATAAAATAAAGTAAAATTTATATACTACAGCGTCAACACACAGGGGAAAAAATATTCAACAAAATCAACATAAAAATAGAAATCAGATAACAAATTAAAAAAAAACCACCCACACACTCAAAGAGAAGTCAAAGATTTATTTAACTGCTTACATATTATAAATAAGAAGTAGTATTAACTCATTTTAGCTAAAACGGGTAAACGTTATACTACAACACTCATCACTTTGTCAGGTGAAACATGTTGGTATCAATGATCTTGGACGCCAAAAACATTCTTGACTTCTACCAGATAATGAAACAATAAAGCTAGCCATCAGGCTGTGATAATGACTGTAATATTCCGTTAGTGTCAATTAAAGAAATAAATAAAGCTATAATTAGTTGATTAACCGACAGAACGCAACAACCGCGAGAGATACTCAGAACGGTTTCACAGAATCAAGGGAGTCGTGTTGAATTAGCCAGCAATACAAATATTTAGCTACTGTATTAACCAGGAAAGATAAGTTAAGGAGGATTGTCACAGAGCAGACAATACCAATAGGTAGCTACTGTATTAACCAGGAAAGATAAGATAAGGAGGGTTGTCACAGAGCTGACAATAAAAATAGTTAGCTACTGTATTAAGCAGGAAAGGAAAGTTTAGGAGGATTGTCACAGAGCTGACAAAAAAAATGGTTAGCTACTGTATTAACCTGGAAAGATAAGATAAGGAGGTTTGTCACGGTGCTGACAATAAAAATAGTTAGCCTCTGTATGAATCAGGAAAGATAAGATAATGAGGGTTGTCACAGAGCAGACAATACCAATAGGTAGCTACTGTATAAACCAGGAAAGATAAGATAAGGAGGGTTTTCACAGAGCTGACAATAAAAATAGTTAGCCTCTGTATGAATCAGGAAAGATAAGATAATGAGGGTTGTCACAGAGCTGACAATAAAAATGGTTAGCTACTGTATTGACCAGGAAAGGAACGATAAGGAGGGTTGTCACAGAGCTGTCAATAAAAATAGTTAGCCTCTGTATTAATCAGGAAAGATAAGATAAGGAGGGTTGTCACAGAGCTGACAATACAAATAGGTGGCTACGGTATTAACCAGGAAAGATAAGTTAAGGAGGGTTGTCACAGAGTTGACAATAAAAATAGTTAGCTACTGTATTAAGCAGGAAAGGAAAGTTTAGGAGGATTGTCACAGAGCTGACAATAAAAATAGTTAGCTACTGTATTAACCAGGAAAGACAAGTTAAGGAGGGTTGTCACAGAGCTGACAATACAAATAGTTAGCTACGGTATTAACCAGGAAAGGAAAGATTAGGAGGGTTGTCACAGAGCTGACAATATAAATGGTTAGCTACGGTATGATCAGGAGAGGAAAGATAAGGAGGGTTGTCACAGAGCTGACAATACAAATAGGTGGCTACGGTATTAACCAGGAAAGATAAGTTAAGGAGGATTGTCACAGA